AGTAAATATAAAATATAAATATTATATTTTTTATATAATCCCATAATTTTTATTTTAATAAAATGTTTATAAATATACTGATTAAGAAAAATAAATATTTTTTAAAAATAATGGAATTAATTTGGCAAGATAAATTTAAGAATTTCGAAGTTATTACAGATTGGGAAAAGTACGTGAATCCAAATAAACCAAGACATAAACTGAATGAATATCAACTTGTAAAAATAAATTTCAAATTGTGTCTCGAAGTTAAAACACAATTAGAAAAAATTACATTCTTATGTAATCTCGATAATTTTAATCTTTTACAAAATTATACTTGGTATTATCATAAAGGTAAAAATGACAATACATCTTATATTGAAACTAGAGTTAATAAAAATAAACATAATAAATTTCATAGAATGATTTATCCAAAATTCAAGATAATTGATCACATTAATCGAATAGGAATAGATAATCGTAAATGTAATTTACGAGAAACAAATTACAAATTAAATGCTTTAAATTGTAAATTATTTAAACATAATACTAGCAGATATAATGGTATTTCATTTGATAAAGTTTTAAATGGATGGAAATTTTAATGGAAAGAAAATAATAAAATAAAACATAAATGTTTTTGTATTACAAAAAATAGAACTAGTGAACAAGCAAAACAACTAGCTATAGATTTTAAACTAGCACATGATAAAAAAACTGGCAATCAAAATGGATATTAAATATGTAGAATTTAAATAATTTTGTGTAACTTTAAAAATTATAAAAACACTTTATTTTGCGAGTTTGTAAAGAAAATTAAAAATGAATAAACTTTCAACTGAAATGATATTTTTGATTTTTGATTTATTGGATAATAAATCAATGTTATATTTTGCATTAACATGTAGCTTTTATAAAAGAAAATTTGATGAATATATATTTCCTCAAATTTCACATGATGTATGGGTACGACATTCAGTTAATTACAGCATTTATCCACAAGAGTTAAAAGCAACAATATATTTACCAAAAACTAAAAAAGGAAAACGATCATATGTTGAATTTCTGATGACCAATTACCATGTGATGAATGTATTAAAAAAAAAAGACGTAGATGGTGTGATTTTAAGAAACGATGTGAGCATTGTATATTAGATGAAGTTAAATGTATATGCACTAATAAAAGTATTCGAAAACCTTTAAGTAGAGATAGAAAAGAAAATTTTTATTGTGTTTCATCTTATAATAAAGGAGAAAAATTAATAGCAGTACGTAAATGGGAAGTTGGAACAAGACAATGTGATAAATGTAATTTTTATAAAAAATGTGGTCAGATGCCTGTATTTAGTGGATGTAATATTCCTTCTTGTAATTTATATTTTAGAGATAGTGTTATAGATATCTATTATAATTATCAAATTAATCATTATCATAATTTATGTGAAGAATGTTTTAACAAATTTCCAAAAGAAAACACAATTCGATTTGTAAACAATTTTGTGTGGAGATCGACATAAA